GTAGCCCAAGAATTCAAACATATGAGCCTATGGGGGCTGTTCTCATTCAAATCACCATAGGGAGGTAAAGAACAAATGCCAAAAATAGCCACCATGCTGGACTACAGGGCTCACTTGAGGTATGTAATAATGAGTTTAATATAAAACTACTCAGCCTGGGGTTATGTTTTTCTTGGACCAGAGGCAGTGTATCAAGTTGAATTGAAGAGATTCTACTTTTGTCAACAGTTTAAGGAAGCAGCCCAGTGTACACACCTGTAATCTCAACATGCTGGAGGCAGAGGCAGGTGTATCAATGCAAGTTCAAGGCCATCTGGTCTTCATGTCAAGTTCCAGGCCAACCATAGCTTTACAGCAAGACCCTGTCTCAAAAAATAAAAAAACAGCCAGGCATTGTGGCACATGACTTTAATCCAACCACTCAGTAGGCAGAGTCAGGTGGTCTCTGAGTTTGAGCCCAGCCTGGTCTACACAGCAAGTTTCAGGCTAGCCATATTTACATAGAGAGACCCAGTTTCAAAACACTAATAAAATGAAAACGTGTGTGTGTGTGTGTGTGTGTGTGTGTGTGTGTGTGTGTGTGTATACATGCATATATATTTGGAAGCAATGAAGCAGACAAGAAGTGATAAAAATGGCCAGAGAACCTGAGCTGAGTAAGAAGACAGATATAAGGGACTGTGGATAAACGAGACTCAAAAGCAACAAAAGTGTGTTACAGAAGGTAGTTTCAAGGCGTTTTGAACATGGTGAGCTAGAAGAAATAAGGTAAGCTCTGTCATGCTGTAGCAGTGATTTGCTTTCCCGACTAAATTCTCAGTTCTCATTAAGGACGGAGTGAGACAGTCTGCAAAGGCAATTGGATAAACTAGGCTTCCTAACTGGGGCTAGGGTTTCTTAAATGAAATTGCTTTCCATCAATAAAGCCAAACACTACGGAAGTAACACAAACCATTGCGGAATCAGGGAACTTCAAACAAACCTCTGAGGTAACTTCTAGTCTTCATTATTAATTTATTTACATATTTTTTCCTATATTTGTTCAGATACTTGTAAGTACACATGGGGGTGTCAGGTCTCACACATTTAACTTACAAAACTGAAACTCCAGGCAAAACTATCACCATTGGTGACCTCACCAAGTTAAAAGTCACAAGCAATTGTTTTAGAATGCTCATAGTTCCTACTTCTGAGAATCTCGTTTAAAAATTGCAAAAGAATAAAATATGCATCTCCACTTCCCTACTTCCACACAGAGAAAATACACAAGAGATCAAACCACTCTTAGGAGAACACGTAGCCTTTATGGACTTGATCCTTACACAGCCTCTTAAGCATCAATCAGCAGTGTGAGTACCAACCCAGCCCTACCACTCATCAGCTGCAAGGTCGTGGACAAGGCACTTCAATTCCTCTGCTTCAATTCCTCCAACTTAAAAATGGAGATAGTAATGCATGGCTACCTCACAGGGCTATCACCCAAGAAAAATGTGAGAGTCCTTTGTAAGCTATCTTGTACTTGGCTGACAATAGTCATTGTGACCACACTTTGAGAGGGACAGGGAGGGTCTTCCCTTCCAGTTAGAATGGAGAAAAGGAAGAGAAAACAATTCCTGCAAAGGCACAAATCTCTGTTGCATGCATTAGTGGAGCTCCGGCTTCATTTGTCCACAAAGTATAAGTATAGGGACGTGGCTAAAACTTGCACCTGGCAAAAGACCCTTATAGACAAGGGCAGAGTTGGAAATCTGGGGCCAAAGCAAAGCATTCCCTAGAGATTCAACTAAAACACAACTGGTAGGTATAATTTTAGGGCCAATCCTTGGCCATCTTATTTTGAATTAATAGAGGGTTTGGAAATAGGTGGGTCATAGTCACCGAGGAGTAGGAAGAACGGCTTTTCTAAACTCATTCTTCAGCTGATGGCTGGCCACTCAAGACTATTTCATAGCTAACAACTAGGCATCAAGTACTCAAAAGGCCTCACAAAAATGTGTCAAAGAAAAGGCCGGCTGGAGTGGAGGACATAGCTCAGTTGGTACAGTGCTTGCCTAGTATACCTAAGGACCTCATAAAACTGGCCATGGTGGCATGGGCCTGTAACCATAGACCCCGGGAGGTAGAGGCAGGAGGATTGGAAATCATCCTTGGCTACACAGCCAGTTTGAGGGCAATCTGCACTACATGAGATCCAGCCTTAAAAAAACAACAAACTCAGATAATATCACTAACCGTAAGCTTGCCTTTAACTCGGTCTGTGAAGAAAAAAATGACTGTCTTCATTTTTCTGTCTGGAAAATAAAGCTGATATTTAGATTCACTGTGAAAGTAGAGATGTCTAGTCCAACCCTTGTATTTCATAAAGGAGATGAGAATTAGCATGTTGAACTGACCATTTTCTGTGTACAGCTGGTGAATAGCAACAAGGGGACTAAAACTCCACTCATCTCCACATTTATGTTCGGTCCACCCTCATTCCCACCCTGCCCCCTTTCCCCCCCTCATTGTTATCAGAAAAACAAGGGTGTTGTTTATAATCAGTATCCTATCTCCATTATCCTGCCAGCCTCAGAGGAAGATGTCGAGAGAAAGAACAACTGCCACTCCACAGGTCATGTCCACCAGGATGGCTAAAAACATCTTCAAATGGTTTTTAGTAGGTTTTCAAGTTTGAGGGTGGTGAGCAATCCTAGGATGGTGATGAAGATCCACTCAGAAGCCCTAAAGAAGGCAAAATGCACAAATAAGCAAACAACCCACCTGAGATGGGGATGGGGAGTCCCAAGATCTTAGATTCCTTGAAGCAGGGTGTAAGGCTGTGTGGTCCCCATTCGAATTCTTCATAACCTAACAATCACGAAACAATCATTTTCATTTTGCACCAGGCCTCTCAAGTTATGTGATGTGGCTGGTGCTCTTTTCCTCTGTGACAACCACAAAGAGTTGGCCTGCATACAACCACTGCTTCTAGCCCTAGACAAGCGGGACCGGAGGAAAGCCCTGAGAATTTGATCCCCTTGGTGACTTCAGGAAGGGAATAATGTTGGGAAAGGTAAGGGGGCTGCAGCCTTGGACCGTTTCCAATCCTGGCAAGTCAGATGCCATCATAAACATGAGCCCAACCACACTCTGCAGTGCCTGATTCTTCAGCTTGGGCAGCTGCGTTCTGGCCTCATGCCCAGAGCTAAGAGCCTAGACGCTGCCTCCTGCGGCGGACTTTTTGATGACTTCAATCCGGTCGCTCTAAGTGGGAAAGGAAGACACAGCTGAGGATAGGTAAAACCCCACCCTTCGGAGGGCCTCGCCACTGCGGAGGGAAAGTTTGGAGTCAGGAAGTTAGAGGGACCCAGGTTTCAGGTGGCCGCGACGCTGGGGCCACAAGGTGGGCTATCTGCTAGAATGCCTGAGCCTAAGGGTCAAAATCTGGCTTTGAACTTCGCGCCTCTGAGGAGGGGCGGGGCTACGGCAAGAGGGCAGGGTTTCCTGTGGCGCCTCTGCGTGTGGCTGCACCCTCTGAAAAGGCTTGTAATCAAAGAAGCGGGCATGTGGGTTCCATAGTGTAGCGGTTATCACGTCTGCTTTACACGCAGAAGGTCCTGGGTTCGAGCCCCAGTGGAACCACAGTAGCGACTTAAATGTTTTTCATAAGTAGCCTGCATAAAATCGAAAACCGGAGACCATTTTTCTCTTTCATCTACCTATATTATTCCTAACAGCTTTATGTCGCAGCCTCTGTCGCCAGATCCGAGGAGTAACCCAGAGTGGAGGCAGGGCGGGTTGGAGTCAGCTGCTGTTTATCTCACCTCGGAGGTGCTCCGGGATACTTCACCAGGAGCGCCCCGCAGCAGCCTTTCTTCCTGAGCGAGAATAAGTTGACCGCCAAAACTTCCCACGAAAATATGTCAACAGAGCCACGCTTTGATTGCAGCTGACGTTTTTAAAGGTTGATTATGATTAAGTATTTAATATCTTATTAAACTCTTTAATATCTTATTCAGCTCTAAAATACAGAGCAAGAACAGTGTAGCTGGAGGGTTAGTGGAATGAATATTCCTCTTTTTAAATAAGAATTCATATACAGTTGAGAATAAGTGTCATGCTTTTAAGTTTATTAATTAAATGTAGTTTCTGACAATTTCATGCATGTATATAATGCATCCTGATTACTCTCACTCCCACCCATGTGTTGATTGATGATGAAATATTTCTCCAGTTCGTCTTTGCTCCCATTATTACAGTTCTGTTGCAGGGAGAACTTCTTTCGAGGGGGTGAAGTATGAGTGAAAGGTTTCTGGGGTCCTGGGGGTCCTGGGGGTCAAGGGTGAGATGATGGTAGCAGAGAACTAAACGGGAAAAGAGAAACTTTTAGTTGTTTGTTTGTTTTTGTTTTTTCTTGGCTTCTCCTACCCCCAGTTTTGATCATACAGTATATGAATTTACATCTTTTTCTAACTCAAAAAAAAGGTAATGTTATTTTCTGGTTAACAGTCAATTTACTCTTTTTAAAACCTCAACCATTAAAATGCACAGTTAGTTACTGTTAAGTATTCAAGTTGCTGTGAACTGATTTCCAGAAATTTTTCTTGCGAAACTGAATCTCTACATCCATTCACCTTGTTCCTCCCATCAACTTTATTTTTAATGGCCTATAATAATGGTAGCTGAGTAAGCCAGACATTGACCTAAGTACTTTGTCTTGTTTTGTCATGCTGAGAATCAAATGCATGCCCGTCCCCCATGTTCCTTCCAAACAAGGCTCTCCATCCTAAACTAAGATACACCTACAGCCTTACTACGTGTTTTGTGGCATCATCCCATTTCAACCTCAACAGAAATCTGTTAAGTAGCTATTATCATCGTCATTTTACAGACAGAAAATTTGCCTCGAGGTCACACCATTACAAGTGGCTGCTATGGGATTTCCTCACAGCTCAACTTGGGAATCTGTGCACTTAGCCAGCTTCCTAACCTTGGACGTTCTGATTATTTCCAGGTTGTCATTCTCATAAGTATCTCAACACTGCACATCCTTATGTAGAACTGAGCCGCCACCACCAAAATCAGTGTTTTCCTGAGTGAGCGGGTGTCAACATAGCACCGTGTTCTCCTGGGAGAAAATACTATGACACTTCCCTGCAAATAGAGTCTGTGAAACTGTTCAAGGTCACTCCCTAGAAAATGATGTCGGAGAAAGAATTAGGGACCCACGTCTGACTATAGTTTCCATTTCCTTCCATTACTCGTTTTACATTTAAAGGGACTAACACCAGTCTCTTCTTGCTAAACCAACCTTCAGGCCAACAGTATCTTCTGAGACTTCCTGTTGAGGCAGGGAACTATGCGGGTTAACTAGAGGGGGGCTGAGTGGAATAAGATGCTTAGTGGGGCCAGTGGCTCAAGTTAATCGCCTGCTCCTAGGCCAGCTCCCCACTTCAGTTAGGCAGAGCTGTGGCCAAGGACAAGGAGAAAATGCAACGCAAGATTGAAGGCTTCTTCTTATTACTTCTCTTTGGCTATGAAGGTATGTGCTATTCTGTCATTGACATTTATTAAATATTTAATAATGTGATTTAATAGAAAGTAGGTGACAAATAGAAATACAAACTGAATAATAAAAATTATTGGATAACAACATGTAATTAGTTAACAGGTTATTAATTTTAAAAGTCATTTTTGTGTGGCTATGTTTGTCACTGTCTTGCTACTGGCTTCCTGGTTCCATGAGGAGCCTTCTAAAGTTCAAATGATGTTTATAATCCAACAGAAAGAAAGAAAGGCCTCAAAATCTGTATATATAAAACAAGTATAAATTGGGACAATTAATGAGAAATCGTGTATTCTTGGAAAGTTTAGGAGGCAAAGTTAGAGCAATTGTAGAATTTAATATTCTAAACCTGACTATTACTGAGGGTTAAGGATGAAGCTATTAATAGCTCTGCTGGGGCAAGGGTAAACGAGGACTGTCCCTGGCAAATCAGGACAAAGGGTCACCCTAGTTTAAATATGGATTAGCATAAGGCCAAGTACCACTGGAGTCTAATAGAAGTCTAATAAAATAATCCAAAGAGAGTCAATAAAGCCTAAATACTCAATATACTCTGTCACTTTTAAATTTCTAAATGTGGCCCCGGCAGCCATGATATACTTAAATAAGAACAGATTAAAGCCATGTCAATCAAATAAACTTTAAATTCTCTCTCAATCTTAGAAAGAATACTCTTTCATGCCTCTCTCAACTCTCAAGCACCCATCAATCCAGAATTCTTTTTAAAGTTCATACTTTCAAATACTAAAAATTGGTTGAAGGGCTGGGGATGGAACTCAGTGGTACAGTCCTGCCCAGTCTTCATGAGTCCCTGGGTTCAATCCCCAGAAGTACTATAAAGCAATCAAACAAAAGCCCTATTTCATCCTTTTCCTGGGGTAGCTACACATACTTGCAATCCTAGTACTGGGCGAACTAAAGCAGGAAGCTACTTAAGTTTGAGGCCAGCCTGGGCAACCGAGACCCTGTCTCAAAACAGGGAGGGAGTCTAGACTATATAGGAAGGTCCTGTCTGGGAGCGAGGGAGGGAGGGAGGGAGGGAGGGAGGGAGGGAGGGAGGAAGCAAGGAAGGAAGTTGGTTGAATTACTTTTTGTGGACATTGTGTGTTTATGAGTGTTAGAGGGAAGAGAAGGCCTCACTCCCCTGCAAATGACTTGTCAGTCAGACAAGATGAATACACATAAGGGTCAGAATTCCTGGCTTATACCATTCTCCTCTGTTTTCTCCAAATATAAATACACAAATATAATATATATATTATATTAAAGTACCCATTTTCATGAACTATCAATCTTGTGACTTTCATTATCTAGTTGTATTTCTAGTGTTTGGAAAGACTTATGAAAATAAAATCCCAAGGTCATACTACAAACCCTAAAATATAGGGCTTTTTTTCTTTAATTTTTGTTGTTGTTATTTGGGGGCAGGGTCCCATACAGAAGCCCAAGCTAGCCTTCAACTCACTATGTAGTCGAGGCTGGGTGTGACTTCATAGCAATCAGCCTGCTTCTACCTCCGGAGTGCTAAGATTACAGGCGTGAGCCACCACACCCAATTTCTAAGATGTTTTTTAAGGAGGGTTCATGCAACCAGTTGTCAGAATTCCATCCTTGCCCTTTGCAATTAAGAGTCAGAAATTTGTGCCTTTTATTTATTTATTTATTTATTTATTTATTTATTTATTTATTCATTCATTCATTCATTCATTCACTTATTTATTCATTCATTTATTTATTTGGTTGGGCATGGAGATGGAGCCCGGAGCCCCAGGCATGCTAAACAATGGCTCTATCCCTGAGATATATAGCCCATTTTTCCCATGAACTTTCCCAGGATTTTTGATATTTTCTGTTTTTGTTGCTTCTCTTTTGTTCCTTGTACTTTTCTCACACAAAAAAGCTCTAAGCAAAGTCTTTGATCCAGACACCCCTGTTTCTCAGACAGGAATTCCCAGTGCTCACACTTAATTTCTCTTACAGACAAGCTGGCGTTGAGATTCATTTGTTCACTACTTTGTTCTTTCAAGAGCCTTTTGTCTGGGGTTGGAGAGCAGCTTAGTCTGTGAAGTGCTTACAGCTCATGCACCAAGGGTTCGATCCCCAGAACCCTTGTTAAAAAAAATCCAGGCATGGGAACTAAAAAGATGGCTTAGCAGTTAAGAGCACTTGTTGGAGAGGACCTAAGCTTAGTTCCCAGTGCCTTATAACTCCAGTTCCAGGGGCCCAGACAGCCTCTTCTAACCTCATCCGTCACCAGGCATGATGCATTTGTATGCAGGTAAAACACTAATACACATAAAATGAAAAATAAATAAGTAAAAAAAAAGCCAAACATAGTAATACATGCTTCTAATCTCAATGCTTGAGCCTTGCTGGCCTGCCAGCCTAGCCTACTGGGGGAGCTCCAGGCAACCCTGGAGAGTCCCTGTTTCAAAAAATGGGGTGGAAAGTAAAAGATGGCCCCTGAGGAATGACATCCACAATTGTCCTCTGGCCTCCACAGGTATAACACAAACCCATGTCTGAATATCTGTAACAGGGTAAACAGAACTTGGCACTCAGAATCAGAATAGGTCCCCTTCTCTGACAACGCTGCTCATTGGCCCTCCCTGCCTGTCTAAGTTACTTTTCTATTGCTGTGTTAATGCACCATGACCAACGCAACTTATAGAAGAGCCTCCTAAACCTTCCCAAACAGTTCCATCAACTGGGAACCAAGTATTCAAATATATAAGCCTGTGGGGGCCATTCTCATTCAAATCAGTACACTGCCCCATGGGTAGAAGTCTTCTAAATGTCTACGTGTGTGTGTGTGTGTGTGTGTGTGTGTGTGTGTGTGTGTGTGTGTGTGTGTGAGAGAGAGAGAGAGAGAGAGAGAGAGAGAGAGAGAGAGAGAGTCCCAGTGAGCTGATCCTCCTGTGTGTTTATGTGTGAGTCCCAGTGAGTTGATCCTCCTGTGTGTTTGTGTTTGTGTGTGTGTGTGTGTGTGTGTGTGTGTGTGTGTGTGTGTGTGTCCCAGTGATTTATCCCCACAGCACTAGTGTTGCAGGCCCAGCTTTTTACATAGGTACAAGGATCCAAACTGCAGTCCTCATAGCTGCACAGCAAATGCTCTTAACCAGGAGCCATTTCTTTAGTCCCTAATGCATCTTTAAAGTAGACTCACCCTCTCATGATCAGTAACAAAAGGCAAACTGTTGAAAGCAGAAAAGGACAGGACTTTGTCCTGTTCTACAATTTACTAATCCTGGTGCATGGCTGAGGAGCTCCAGATATGTCCACAAAGACCATAGATAGCATCTGTCCAAGTAGAAGGGTTGAGTGGGGAATGTTGGGAAGTATACATTTTCTTGCCCACCTAACCCAGGCCTTCCACCCCTTACCCCACTTAGAAGAAAATAAGACAACCCCAAATGGACAGTGTGACCTGGTGGCCTTCTGTGCACTCTACCCAGAGCCAACATGGATATTGTGGGAAACAGGGAAAATACAGGACACAATGACTGCACTTACTCAGTTTATAGTCCAGATGGAGACATAAGCCAACACACATGGGAAAGACATGTTCCATTGGACAGTGGGAACCCAAGCACAAAGGTTATTTGGCTCATTTATTCTTTGCTGTTTCTATTCTTTGGTGACAGCAGCTTCTTATTATTGTGAAATAAGATCAGTGGACGGGCTTCGTTTCTGCACTGGAAGAAGATTCTTTTGGGAACACACATGTGATCACATTAAGACAACCACTGATGTCATAGAACTAAGTTGGGGTCCGATTTATCTTCTACTGTGCATTGTGGACCCTATGCTCTTCATGATTATTAAAATATCCATCCTATTAAAATGTGTTAGTCCATTCTTTGGTTATATTTATTGTACAAAGGTAGAGGGAGCTATCTAGCTCCATTTTACAGGTAACTGTCCCTTTTGCAGGTGTAACAGCCATCAGGCATTGCAGATCTTTGTAAAAAGCAAGTTTTTTAAAGATTTATTTTTAATTATGTGTATGGGGAGCGGTACTTGCATCTGTAGATGCCTGTGGAGGCCAGAGGCATCGGATCACCTGGAGCTGGAGTTCCAGGCAGCTATGAGCCACCAGACATAGGTGCTAAGAATAGAGTGTGGGTTCCTGCAAAAGCAACCTCTTAACCTCTGAGTCATCTCTCCAGCCAAAAGCAACTTTTTTTGAGATGTGGTTTATGTGCCATTTAATTCACCCACTTAAAGGGTACAACTCAATAGTTTTTAATAGACTTACAGGTTTATGGCACGTAAGATCTAATTTTAGAACCTTTTCATCACTACAGATGTTAAATAAATACTCACTCCCTCTTCTCCCCACCCCCGAGTCCCAGCCCCAGCCCCTGGAATCCACAAATTCCCTTTCTGTCTATAGATTTGCCTCTTCTAGACTTTACACTGAAATGGTATTGCACGACATGTGGTCTTTTGTCTTTTTGCTTGCTGTGTGCCTGTGAGGTTCATCTGTGTTGAAGCATGAAAGGATAACAGATTTACCCATGAATATGCCTGTCGCCTAAAATAGCAACACTTTCACACCAGAAGCAATTTCCTTCTTTCTTCTTCCCAAGAGGGACATTATTGCAGCCTGCTGCTTTTCTCCTGTGTCTTTATTGGTGTTTCTAAAGTAAATTAAGGGGCTGGTTGCTTTTTTTTAATCATTCATAGTTTTATGCCTTTCTCCACTGCTTTGTCTGTTTCTATGGGAGTGAATACGGTGATTGGGTATCACCAAATACGAATTTGGTGATACCCAATCAAAAAGAGCAAAATGATTTCTCTGTGTCTCTAATGTACACCTTTTCTCTTGGGCTTGCAAGGTCCAGAGGTGTGCAGAGAAATAAGCATGCCTTGATTTACTTTTTTTTGTTGTGGTGGTAACAAGGGTTTCACTAAAAAGGGCACACTAGCCCATATTGCACACATCTAGGATGAACACGTGGCAGACATCACCT